CCGACCTCTGGCAACCCTGCTGGGCCAGGATGAGCCCCAGCTGCACCCTGCCTTCCCCCAGCAGCCGCACATCCCTGTAGATGAGCCCCGCGCCTACGCTCTCCCCAGCACGCCGCCACGAATGCTTCACCCGGCCGCTCACCCGCCCCACCAGAACCCATTCATGGTGGATCTGCATGACCAGGTAGGTGCTGCAGCCCCCAGCCCCAGTCCTAAGGGTGACCCTGTGGTGGCCCCAGGCTGGTGTCTGGGGCAGTGGTCCCAAGACATGTCCCTGGGTCCCCTCTGGCCAGTTGCTTGCTGCTGAGAGCACCCAGCCCTGAGGCTGCCAGTGCTCTTGTCCGCTGAGCACTTAAACACTGGGGTCCCCCCTGCCAGTTTGGGTGTCCCCAGGGTAGTCTCTGCTCCCAGGGGCTGGGGACAGTCCCCTCATAGGGATGTTCATGTCTCAACTGTCACCATCGTCCATGGTAGCAGTGCTGGGTTAGAGGACGTGCCAGCCTGTCTGCGGGGAGCAAAGAGGGGTCTAAAACCCGCCTCGAACCCAGCCTGCACTCGGCCCCCCTCCTCTGGCCACAGCAGTGGGATGGAGGTGCCGGGCGGTTGTGTCCCAGCGCCGGGTGCTCAGTGCCTTGCGGAGTGCAAGTTCTGGGGGTACAGGGTCTGTTGGAGGCCTTGGGGAGGGAGCAGGGGTGCAGCCATGCCCATGGTGGGTGTCTGACTCCCGTTTTTCTCTCTCTCCCCCCACAGCTGATCCAGGCATGCGCCATGCAACAGCTCCCCGTCTCCTACCAGACGTTCCCCCCCATCATCTCCAGCGACCATTACATCCTGCACCCCCCACCCCCACCAGTGCCCCCCCACCAGCCACCCCACATGGCCCCCCTGGGGCAGTTTGTACCTCTCCAAGCCCAGCACCCGCGCATGGTGAGTTGGGGTGGGGGTACAGGCTGAGGACATGATGCGCCCTGTGGCCCAACGAAGACCACCGTGAGGTCTTGTCCTTCTGCAGTCCCCGTGGGTCTGAGCTGTGGGTGATGGGTGGGATGTCTGGGGTGCCTCTGTCCTGCTAGTGTCGGGGGGGGGGAATTTGGGACACCCCTCCCAGCCTAACTGTTTTCCCCACAGCCTCTGCAGAGGATAGACAATG